TGACTTGGATCCACGCTAAAGCTCATATGAAGAGGAGCTGCGACCTGTTGTTTGTGATGGAGAAACCGAAGCTTTCCAGCCCACTGAGCCAATATGAAGCGAATGATTTGAAACGGTTCGGTGTCGTGAACCGTTTGAACCCAATAAAATCAGCGACATCTGCTGGTGTGGTATGGTGTGGCCTTATTGAGCGTTGTCCATCCATCCATTATCCATCGGGACCTTCTTGCTACAAGGCAACAGCTCTAACCACTGCGCCACTGCGCAGCCATATTGAGCGTTGTGAAGTCCAGCTTGGCTCTGCAGCCTCCATTTGCTCCAAACTGGGTCCAGTCTGTGGGTTCTTTCTTTAATATTGATCCTCATGAACACTGACAAGGAAGTTAAATGTAGATCCTTACCATGACCTTCTAATCTTTTATTTCATTCACAATGTATAAAATAAACACAAACAAATACAGGATACACTAACATATTGGAAAAAAACATGTGAATGAAAAGGAGCAGATAGAAGAAAAAATCTTATGATTTCTGCCCCTTTTTACGAAATAAAATTATCCGCCAAACAAACACAGTATAACCTCAGTCACTTTCTAATATTTTCATGTCTAATCTTTGACATTATAATTCACCTTTTCATAATTACTAAATACATTAGATTTTATACATTTTTTAAATATAGCAAGTGTAGTTGATTCTTTAAATTCCTTGTTAATGGCATTTCCACAATCTTACACCATTTACATAAACGTTACATTCCCTCACTTTGGTTCTGAATCTAGGTTTCTCAAAGACATCAGTTCCTTTTAACATGTACCCACTTACTCTCTTATGAAACATTTTCTGAATATTAGTTGGTAGATTACTCGTATTCGCTCTGTACATTATTTGCAATATTTTCCACTCTACCAAGTCAGGAAATTTCAGTATTTTGTATCTAATGAATAATTGATTAGTGTGATCTCTATAGTTACTGTTATTAATGATTCTCAATGCTCTTTTTTGCAAAATGAACAATGGTTGTGTAAAAGTTTTGCAAGTGGCTCCCCACATTTCTAAACAATAAAATAAATATGGTTCAATCAGTGAGTGATACGATGTTAACAACCCCGACAAGTTTAGTAGAAACTTGACTCTATATAATACACCTATGGCTTTGGCGATTTCCCCCTTTATATAACCTACATGTGATTTCCACGTGAGACTCTCATCGAACAGGACTCCAAGAAATTTGGTTTATTTTACCTTCAGTCAGTCCGGTGCTTCAGAGCGTCCTCATGCAGAAGGAATTAATACTAACATCCTTTAATCCCACATTCAGTCATCCTGCTTAATAAAAAGTATGATTCTGTTGGGAGGCCTCTTTTACAAAGTCTGATTATGATGAACTTTTAATGGTTTTATCGTTATTGTTCCTTTATGATTCACAGCAAGACATTTTTCTATATAAATGGACGATAAAGTTTGATCTTGTCTGTCTTTTCCTGCGTACTATCAGCATCTCAGACCTCCTTCAACTCTTTTGATGAAAGCATTGAATGGAGTTTCGAGACGCTCCTAGACCAGCTGTGAGGTATAATCTCACGTCCTAGATCTGCCTGAAGAGCCCAGAGCCCTTTCCATGGAGCGTGTCCTTACCAGATGTCCAAACCATCTCCTTCTATGCGGAAGAGCAGCTACTATGAGCTCCTCACCCTCTCCCTGAGGGTGAGTCTTTATCATTGCAGATCAGCGCAGAACGCACATCACACCTGGCCTTCCAACATTCTGCTCCATAACACACGGACAAAACTCCTACACCGGGACCAGGGACTCATTTCCAGTTCAGAATTGGAAATCTGCTCTTTTCTGGTTGAAGGCCATGGTCTCCGACTGGGAAATGCTTCGTTCTCATCCCAGCTGCTTCAGCTTGGCTGAAAACTGTTCCCGACAGGACCTCAATCTGCAAAATGAAGTAAAGTACCCTGCAACCCCAGAACCCACCACCTAGGAAATTGTGTTCAAATAAAACATGGAAATGGTTTAATCCTGCTGCACATCGCCATCTGCTGGTGAAAGTTGTAATTGTGTCTGTAACCATCCTCAGAGCTCCAGGTTGTACAACCAGGTCTTCATAACCGTTAGTCAGAAGCCATGAACCCAAATCACCCACCACCACCAGAACTTTATTGCATGTTCAGGTTGAAGGAAGTCTCAGGTGGAGGATTCTGTTCATTTCTAATAAATCAGAGAATTTCTCTAAAAGCTGAATATCTGAAAAAGCAGCTGAGATGGTTCAGGTCATCAGGAGACCTGCTGGTTCCTTCAGACCCAGGCCTGTGCTTACCTGTCCAGGTGAGAACATCCCAGAGTTACCTGTTCCTATATAGGAAATCCCGCTTTTATCTTGAAACTCATTTCCTGTTTCAGAGTTTGTTAAGCCGAACCCGTTTTGTAGTTGAAAGCAGATTTTGATCCAGGATCTGGTCTCCCTGGAAGTTTACATCCATTCCCTCTGCGCTGCGGCAGACGGACAGGTGAATGAGGAATGTTGGCGTTCCACCAGGAGAACAAACATCGAAAGTGAAAAGTGATTAAATAACACCCGTTTTCACAGCTAAAATGAGCATTACAGAGCATTATATTAATCTACAAGCAGAACGTTTTAGTCCGACTGAAGCTTCGGATCAAAACTTGACTAGCGGTCATGTGGTCCACCTGCAACAATCTCACTTTCACAAATCACACAAAGATTCTTCTTGAGGTTAGTCAGAGTGGAAAATGGCACCTACAAACTGTGGAACAGGCTGTGTGGTGGGAAAAGATTGAATCCTAGATGATTTTGTGCTCTTTTCTCCCCACAACCCTGAGTTAAAGTCACTTAGATCGCTTTCTAATTTAGGGCTGGGGTCTGATATGAAATTCAAGAGTGTGGTTGCTAGAAATAAAGAGAGGCAAACAGTTCCTTCCCTTTATTAAGCTGATCGCGTTTGAAATTTGGGATAAAGTGTTATGTTTGCAATGTGAATTGGATCTGAGTTTAATGCCGTCAGGAGAAATTTCACATTTATGATTTAATGAGATATTAGAAAAGAATCAGTGATTTTCCTCTGTGTGCTTCAGATTGTTGTCATGATGCACATCTCCAACTTCCTGGGAGAGGGAAGCAGGTTTTCTTCAGGAATTTGATAGTATTTGGCCCATCCATGTTTCCTTCTACCCAAATGACATGCCTGGTCCCCGAGGCAGAGAAACACCATCAAAACAGGATGCTGCCACCTCCGTGCTTTACTGTAGGGATGGTGAGGCATGTTGGATTTACACCAGGTGTACCTTTAGGAATCTTCCATTCTGGAAAAGCTCAAGCCAGCTTTAATGTGGTCTTTCTCCAGAAGAATCATTTCTGAGAAACCCTCCAGAACAAGCCACATCTCTGCAGCGCTTGTGAAATTGTTGTCACGTGTACAGAATGACCACTCTGCCATAAAGTCCTGTAACTCCTGCAGAGAGGCCACCAGCCTCTTGGTAGCCTCCTCACCAGATTCAGTTCCAAAAAGCTTTCTTTGTCTCCGAGGGACAATTAAGGACCCGGTTATTTTAGAGCAGAGTGAAGCAATCCTCTGCAGTCGCTTCCTGTTGTGGAGACGGATGGAGTGGAACCAGCAGATTATTGAGAAGGTGATGATACTCAGCAAAGCTATGGTAAAAAGTCTGTAGAACATCAGTTTCCTCCTTGCACTTCCACACAGAACAAGGGAGGGTCCCAGTTGCACCAAACACTGTCCCCTTCTTTATTGGAGACTTTACTGTGCTGCTCCTTGAGATTGAAATTTTCCGTAGTCTGTCCACAACTCTTTCCCTGAAATCTTTTAAATGTGGATTGCCACCCATGGTCCGTCTGATGTCAGCTCCAGCAACAGCTGGCGTTATTCACAGAGCAATACGATAGTCCTTCAGAGGGGGTGATTATTTTCTCATTCAAAACTTTGACTTGAACTGCACTTTTATAGCGCCTTTCAGTGTCAGTGTATCATTCATCCGTTCACACACTGGTGGTGATGAGCTACAACATAGCCACAGCTGCCCTGGGGCACACTGACGGAGGCGAGGCTGCCGAACCCAGGTGTCACCGGTCCTTCCGACCGCCACCAGGGGGCGGGCGGGGTGGGGGGGGGGGGGGGGGGGGGGGGGGGGTAATTTTCTTGCCCAAGGACACAACAGCAGGATTCTCTGGTGGGAGCCGGGATCGGACCTGCAACCTTCTGATTACTGGACAACCAACCCAACCTCTTGAGCTACTGCTGGCCCTACTTATCACTGAAAGAAAAATCATCACAAAGAGCAAAACAAATGACTTTTAATCAAGTGTAAATAACAGCATTCTGTTGTTGCTTAAAGAGCAAGTCACCCCCCCAAATAAACTTTTTTTTTGCTGATAAACTAAATAAACGAGTGTCTAATCGTGCTGCAGACACGTGTCGTCAATAATTTGGCACTTTAGTGCATTTTAGTTAAAATTTAAATATTCTGCCTAAAACTGGCAGTGTTGTGCCGTTGTCAGGTAAAAACTCTGCACTGTATTTCAATTTAAATCTGCCACCGCTATTGGCGAAGAGGTATGCTATGATGTAAACTGGTACATTATGATGTCACAATGCTGTCGTGAGCCTGTGTGTGTGTGTGTGTATTTGTTAGCAGCTCCGCCTTCTCGGTCTGCCAGGCAACAGCATTTGTTGCATTTTTCAAACATGAAGTGAAAGTGGAGTTAGACTCTGGTAGGGGTTGACTAAGCAAAAGTTTATTTGGGGGGTGAGTTGCTCTTTAAATGATTCGCAGCATCAGTTTTTATTGTTTTTTTGTGTTGTTTGTTTCGTAATTTTACACAAAAAGCTGAAAAGCGATAAGAATTAAAACAAAAATGTTTTGTAGAGTTTTATAGAATAAATGATTAATAATAAAAATAGTGATTCTGTGTGTTAAAGGTCAGGTTTACGTCATGACGCTGCCGGCCGGATGTTACGTCACAGCGCCCAGTCAGGCTGTGTTGATGTTTTGGAGAACGGGAAGAGGGAGACGCTTTTTGTTTTTGTTCAACTCCACCGTCGAATGTAAACAGAATTGTTGTTTCTTTGGTCGGTTTCGGTCCGTTAAGGGTCTTAACTCGGTGACTGGAGCCGAACCGCTCGTTCAGAAGGTGAATAGACCGACTAGTTTTATCCAGAACGGGGACTCGTCACCCTCTGACCGCCTCCCTGCTCCACCATGACGATCCTCCCCAAGAAGAAGCCCAGCTCTGGTGTCGGCGTCTCGGACCACGCCGATGACAGCGACCGTCGGAGCAGCTCCGACCCTCACCAACACCCACACCCGCACGCTGGGCGGACCGGAGCCCGACCCAGAGCCTCCCCTCCGCCGTGGTCTTACCAGACTGCTCCCCCCTCCGCCAGAGAGGACAGGCGGAGCATCGAGGCGAGCTCCCGGCCGCAGCAGGCCTCTCCGCCGCCCGTTGGCTCCGTGTCCCCGGTAGGGCCGGGAGATGGCAGAGACGGTAGCGGTGGAATGGTTACCGGCTCCCGCGGGGAGCTTGTTGTGCCTGCCGGTGTCGTTGGATGCGGCGGGTCGATAGGCGGTTGCTGCTCCGGGCCCGGGCTGAGCAAGAGGCGGCGGCAGGCAGGAACCTGCTCCGGTGGGGTGGTCGCTGCTCTGGCCGGGGGAGGCCAGCCGGGGGTGACCGGACCCGGAGGTGTAGGGTCCAGTCAGGATACGGAGGAAGGAGCAGGGAACAACAGCGAGGACGAGTACGAGAACGCCGCCCGGTTGCAGTTCATGGACCCGGCCACGGTGGAGCAGGTAGGGAGCTAACAGGCTAACGGGGATGCTAACGAGGCTAAACGGGAGGGTTCTGGAGGGTTTGAAGGCTTTTACACAACATTTAACTCCATAAAGAGACCCCACCGTGTCAGCAGTGTCGTGATTAACAAAAGTGTAATCATAAAGGAAACGCCGCTGTAGCGGTACAACACCAGTACTACACTGTTTTCACCACAACGGTCAGGTCAAAGTCTGACCCGCTTCCCAAAGGCTTCAGGTAACCATAGCAACGACTGGGATGCTGTAGTCACACAACAGGTAATAGGGGTGGGGATTTATGAGGGCTGGATGTGCAGGTGGGGGCAGCAGCAACAGTCAGTCCAGATGTGGTTTTAGTGCCTCCCAGCATCCAGATCCAGACCTGTGGTCCTGAATCTGGATCAGCACTTTTCTAGAATGTGGATTTTTTTTTACACCATCAGGTCTCTACTGACCTCGATCAGCAGGCCATTAGACGTAAGCAACATGTTTGAAACCTCAGTGTCATCTTCGATGAACACATGAATTTCGACAAACAGATCAATGCGGCGGTCAAGTCAAGTTTTTATCAACTTAGGACCTGGAAAAAGTCAGTCATGCCCTTATAAGCTCGCACATCGGTTACTGCAATGCCCTATCCAAGTCCTCCATCGCTCGTCTGCAGCTAGCCCAAAATACCGCAGCCCGTCTCCTCACTAACACACCTTGGGGCAGCCATATTACTCCCATTCGCTTAGAACTGCACTGGCTTCCTGTATTTTTCAGAACACAATTCAAATTCATAATGTTCACGAGCATCCATGGCCTCGGTCCTGCCTATCTCTCTGACTCCTTGTCCTTACGTCAGCTAACACGGTCCACTAACTCAGTCCCTCGACCTCGATACAAGCACTGGGGTGACCTCTCTTTTTCAGTCGTGACTCCAGCAGTCTGGAACAAACTCCCTGATGACCTGAGTTTGACTTTTGAGTTATCTTTGTTCAAGCGCAAGCTTAAAACCTACCTTTTCCAACAGGCTCTTCATCAGTAGCCATCCTCTTTAACTTCTGATGATAAAGACTCGCGGGTCTTATTTTGTTTCTGAACCAGGAACGGGCTTTTGGTCCTGATGCTGACAGCCTGGATGTTCCTTTTCCTCTTTGGACCAGAGCTCTTAGACCCCAGCTCTTGAAACAATACTCCAGAGTTCTGATCCAGTTGACCACATTTCTGCTGTTCTGGTCCAACCCAGAGGATTTGGTGCAGCCTCTGAATGGAGTGGTTGCTGATTAGAGATTGACAAATTGGTTTTTCTTTTGCTGATGCTGATATGTAGAGGTCCTGGTCAGCCGTATGGTAAAATGTCACTGATAACATCTAGACGTGGGCGGTGCTCACATTTTAATCCCACCTAGCTTCCTCCACATTTTACCACGGTGTGCGGTATTACTGGGACTAATTTAAAAATGATGACGTAAGCCTTCAAACTGTTGGTTTGGACCTTCACCGTTCAGAAACTCAATAACAAACACTATTACTAAAACACTAACAACATAACACACCTAATATTAACAACTTTAATAAAAAAACAAGCTTATAAAAAGACTTTTCACCTGTAAAACCTGCACGTTTACCTTTTTCGGCTTCAGCCCCCAACTGCTGAAAACTCGCTTGTGGCAGACGGCCGGTTACCTTTGGGCTAGTCGTGACATCTGGGGAAGGCTGGCTGCTTATTTCCACCAGAAAGGCCTGTAGTCGTGCCTTTTAATGACGGCTGCAGACAGAAATCTGCCTCTTCAGCTACGGCTCGCTGCTCTGCCGTGCCGACGGGGCGGGCGGCTTTCGCTGTCCTCTTTTGTTTGCACAAATGACCTCATAAGAGTTCACCAGAAGTTGTGGTTTTTTTAAGACTCCCGGTCAGCTGGTACGCGAGCTGCCATTTCTTCTCTCGGCGCTGTCATGTGATGACATCATGTTCATAAACTTTGTGGAACGTCTCTAAAATGTCGACAAAACATTTTAAACTATTTAAGTAAAACCAAAAATTCAGCCATGCTTCTGTTTTATGCTTTAAATAACCTTTATTTATTTTTGTTTATTTTTTATCTCTGTCTCCTACGTGCACTGGTTTTTTTCATGACGGTATCGGAACTGACACCGATGCTATTGTTCCACACCGGCTGGATGCGATAACGCCGCCCAAGCCCGACAACATCAGGTTACGCAATCATTTCTGACGCAGAATCTGCTTTTGAACTCGGAGTTCAACCAAACGTTAAATCTCAACACTGTTCTCAGTAGGGATGCAACAATGCCACTTTTTTCCTCGCCGATACGATACTGATACTTGTATCTGAGTACTCGTCGATACCGATTACTGATACCGATACTTCTTCCACACAAAATAATACTATGAATTGGAATACAAATTTTATTTTCTTCTCTGCTTTCAACAAGAAAAGACTGTGAGGTAGATAAAAAGTAAAATATATGAATGGAAATCATCACAAAACTAAAATATTAGGTGAACAGAAATGACAAGTTACAGTGAACTGCATTGGTATCAGTTACTGGTGTTGGGTAACTTATTGTACTAGTTCTCAGTGTTAAAATCAGACGTCTAACTAAAGTTCATTAAAGAGCAAGTCACCCCCTACCAGAGTATTACTTCCACTTCCTGTTTGAAAAATGTAACAAATGCTGTTGCCTAGCAGACCGAGAGGGCGGAGCCGGTAACAAATACACACACACACACAGGCTCACAACGACATTGTGACATCATATGGTACCAGCTAACGTTCTAGGGTACCTCTTAGCCAATAGCGATGGCAGATTTAAATTCAAATGCAGTGCAGAGTTTTTACCTGACAACGGCACAACACTGACAGTTTTAGGCAGAATATTAAAATTTTAACTAAAATGCACTAAAGTGCAAAACTATTGACTACACATGTCTGCGGCACGATTAGACACTCATTTATTTAGTTTATCAGCAAATAAGTTGATTTGAGGGTCAATAGTTTAGCCCAAATAAGTGGACGTTATCACCTGCCCAGGTGTAGCCCCGCCTCTTTCCTCATGATATGATAAATGAACTGCACTTGTAGAACCTTTCAGAGTCAGAGGACTCCAAAGGGCTTTAGTGTGTAAACCTGCTGTGACCCTGAATCAGATCAGAGGCTTATAAATGTCCGATGATTAATAAATAATCAATAAATAAAAACAGCAGTTTGTTTTTATTCTTCTGTAACTTTCTCTGGTTTTAAAGTTTGTGTTGTGTGTGTGTGTGTGTGTGTGTGTGTGTGTGTGTGTGTGCGTGTGCGTGTGCGTGTGCGTGTGTGTGTGTGCGTGCAGCAGGAGCATTGGTTTGAGAAAGCTTTGACGGAGAAGAAAGGATTTGTCATTAAGAAGATGAAGGAGGATGGAGCATGTCTGTTCAGAGCAGTGGGTAGGTGCCACACACACACACACACACACCTATACTTGTGTGGGTCCCTCTGCTCACCAGCAGGTGTCAGTGTTTAGTTTTAAATGAGTTTATTTTTTATTTGTTTTCTCTTCGGACAGAAAAGTCGCTCCCTTCACCTTTTACCCAAAATCCTGAGAGTGTGACTGACAGCTCCCCGAAACAGCTCAGTTCTGGTTCTGGTCCGACTGACCAGAACCAGAACTGATCATTTAGTGCTGATACTTTTGAATCGGATCTGTGTAATTTGGTGTTTTTTATCAGAGGAGTTCTGATGCTTTATCAGGAACCGTTAGAGCATCAGCCATAACACCATGACCCAACAAAAGCCGGTTAGGTGGTTCTGATTCGTCCCACCCCCCCACCCCCCGCTGTGGTTCTGGTTCCAGTCAGCAACTCAGAATAAAAACCCAGAATTAAAATTCTGGTTTGAAACAGAAAGTTCTGAAGCTTTAGATCATTCTGATGCTTCAGCGGTTTAAGTCCTGGTTCTGTGGTTCTGACCCGGTACTGTTTGTGTTGGACAGCATCTTTGGATCTGGTCTGAACGATCTTAGAGTAAACGTGATGGTGAGCCGATGCCAACTTCTATCATTCATACTGGTTCTGGTGCGGCCCGGTTTCACAGAAACCAGCTGGTTCTGTCTGAATCGCTACGACTCTCAGAAACCCGTTTAGTCTCACACCTCACGTGACCCGGTCTGGATGTGTTTTCTCTCCAAACTCAGAGCTTTCTGTTTCAGAGCCGCAGGCGTGACTTTCTGTTTGAGTGGCGGTTCGGTTCTGCTGCAGCGACCCGCCTCACACCTGCAACCGGGTCTTACCGAAGGCCAAACGCACCTTCTGCTTGTTGTGTTTTTAAAACCTTGACACACACACACTCTTTCTGCGGTTAGGAACACGGGGTTAAACGCTTCCTGGTTCGGACCCCGCAGCTGAGATGTGTAAACACAGACGGGTGTCTCGCCTGTTTCAGGTCTCATTCCAGGTAAATCTGGTCCGACCTGCTGGATGTTTACCTGAGGGCCACGTCTCTGTCAGGTTCCTGCCTGCCTGTAGGTGGCGCTGCCACGCTGCTGCTGCTGCTGAGGAATGTGTGGCGTCCATGTTTGTTGTTGCTCATCATTCCTTTCCTACAAAACAACACCTGACAGATAACAGCTGATCAACACAATAACAGCCGCTGCCTAGCAACCGTCAGCTGATCGGATCCGCTCACAGGCCCAGCTCGGCTCAGCTCGTGAGTGTGTGTGTGTGTGTGTGTGTGTGTGTGTGTGTGTGTTTCTTCCAAACATTAAGAAACGTCTGCGTTTTCAGACGTGTGGAGCAACATCAGATTGGAGAGCGTCGCCGCCGCGCTCGCGTAGACGTGATGACCCGGCGTGACCCCAGTGAGTCAACGGGTGTGGAAATAAATCAACGTAACTTAAGAAATTAAAGTGTGACCAAAGAAACTCATTTAGCAAATCAACATAGTGGAGCATTAACCTGACAAAACGTGATTCACAAAGATTTAGTCCAGTTTAACCAGTTCAACCAGTAGGAGCTGGACCAGAGTCTGGCTGGTCTTCCGGTCACTGATCCAACCTCGTCTGTGAAATAAACTTAAACATAAATAAAAGATACAGAAATAATCCAGCTGTAGGAGAAGAGGACCGTCTCCGGAGTCGTTTCGTCCTTCCGCCATGATGGAGTTAGTAGGTTGGGTTTGTCTGTGGAGTCAGAAACTCTGATTATTGGTGATAAATCCCCATTTATCATTTAAGCTGGTAATAATCCCAGTTCCAGCGTGTCGGGAGCAGATAGGCCTCGTCGGTCTGGTGGGAAGGGATGTGAGAAGCTACTGTGTCAGGATCCATCAGGAAAACACTCCGACCCTCCATCATGAGTCAGCACCAGAACTCTTACCATAACCAGGACGCTCCAGGAAAGCCGGAGCAGGATCTCATCGGACTCCGAAGACCCAGGAGGACCAGAGATGTTCCGTCAGACTAACTGGGAACAGGTTTATGGACCGTTTCCTCCTGGGTGTGATCCTGATCTGCTGATGTTCAGTGAGAACCTCCAGCTTTGAAAAAGCTCTGCTAGAATCAGAACTCTGACCACGCTTCATTCATTCATTCATTCATTCACGTGTCTCCATGGAAAAACTCCCACTTTTCCATGTGATCCCAAACGGGTGGGAGGGTGGTCCTTCACCCATCCGTCTGTGGTCCAGTCAGGAATAACTGGTTCTGATCCCCAGTTCCCTCCTGATGCTTACTGGTTTGTTCCCAGAGAGGAACTGGGTGTTTTCCACCTTCCTGCTCCTCTCACCAGGCTGGATGAACATCTGAAGATGGATCTGCTCCAGCACCACATCTGTTTCATCGATGCTCAGCAGGAAAACATCTGGATCGGTTAGAGCAGCCGTTTTCACTCGCTGGGTTTGAGTCGGTAGGAATGTTCTCAGCAGGGATTGAAGACATCCCAACACCAAGACAGTCCAGATCTCTGTTCGTGTGATGTTTCTGGTGGCTGTAACCATGGTAACGGTCGTCTGTAGACCACATCCTCCATCCTTTAGATGTTTCAAAATGTAAAATAACTTAAGGTTTTTGGGGTCTGACCCCAAATTTGATTATTTACTGAAAACTAAACCAACATCCAGAACCAGGGAGAAGAACCGCCTCTGGTCCGACCAGAACGTCCACTAGCAGCAGGAACTCTGACATCATCAGTCTGATGCGGTTCTGGTTCTGCTCTTCAGCTTCCTGAAGCTCCAGCCACAGCTGGCTCAGCTGCTCCACTGCAGTCACTAAATGTGTGTGAACTCTGTGATGGTGACCTCTGACCTGGTTTACTGCAACGTCTGGGTGTTTAAGTCCAGACCGTGTGTGTGTGTGCGTGTGTGTGTTGGAATCTCCAGTCTTTCTCCATCACTACGGTATGTCTGCCTCCTTGTCAGCAGACAGTCCAGAGTCTGATTGAAGTCGGACTTCCCTTCATCTGCCTTTGTTCCACTTCCTGTCCGTCCTCTTATCCCACCAGAGAGTTAGTAGAACACCTGATGACCCAACACCACGGCTTTACCCACTGGGCTAACAAAGTGTGTAACTAGCATCACCTGCTAGCAGATGTTTAGCTGCTCGTCACCTTGTTGGGTTATTTTGAAGCACTGATGCTGAACAACATTCGAGACCACGGTCTTGATTCGTAAAAGGGTAGAATGCCTTCTCCGGGTCAGGGATGAGGTCCTGCCCCAAGTGGAGGAGTTTAAGTATCTCGGGGTCTTGTTCGCGAGTGAGGGAAAACTGGAGCATGAGATCGATAGGCGGATTGGTGCTGCATCTGCAGTGATGCGGGCGTTGTACCGGTCTGTCGTGGTGAAGAGAGAGCTGAGCCAGAAGGCGAAGCTCTCGATTTACCGGTCGATCTACGTTCCTACCCTCACCTATGGTCACGAGCTTTGGGTAGTGACCGAAAGAACGAGATCACGCATACAAGCAGCTAAAATGAGTTTCCTCTGCAGGGTGGCTGGGCTCTCCCTTAGAGATAGGGTGACAAGCTTGGACATCCGGGAGGGGCTTGGAGTAGACCCGCTGCTCCTCCACGTTGAGAGGAGCCAGTTGAGTTGGCTCGGGCATCTGGTCAGGAGGCCATCGATCCATCCATTTTCCTCCGCTTATCTGGAATCGGGTCACGGGTGCAGCAGCCTAAGCTGAGAGGCCCAGACTTCCCTCTCCCCAGCCACTCGGGCCAGCTCTTCTGGATGAATCCCGAGACGTCCCTCCAGCGTGTCCTCGGTCTCCCCTTAGGCCTCTTTCCAGTTGGACGTGCCCAGAAAACCTCACCTGGGAGCCGTCCAGGAAGCATCCTAATCAGATGCCCGAGCCACCTCAACTGGCTCCTCTCGACTAGTTAGGATGCCTCCTAGATGCCTCCCTAGTGAGGTTTTCCAGCTGAGAGGAGACCTAAAGGAACACAGTGAAGAGACGGTCTCCACGCTGGGGGAGGGTCTGGTCCTCCCTGTTTAGGCTGCTGCCTCGACGACCCGACCCCGGATCAGCTGATGAAAATGGACGGATGGATGATGCGGAACTGATCAGATGCTGCTGTGTATTATTAGAAATAGTGCTGAACTTATTAGTTATTCCCGTGTTATGCTGGTAGGGATGATCGGCCCTGGGGCGACTGACAGGAGGGAGAAGCCACGCCCCTCCGACCTCCACCAGTAAGATCAAACGTTTGAGCAGCTGTAAAGTTCCTGTTTGGGATGAAAACATCTTAAGAATAATTTTACAGACGAGCAGCTAAAGGACTGATGGTTTTAAACGGAACATCGGAGTTGGGCACGTTTGGCTGAAACTGGGTGACCTGAATCTGAGGGATTTTCAGTCCCTCCTCTGCTTCAGCCTGCAGCTTCGCTCGCCGTTTGTCCTCGGGTTTTATCTTTGGTGACACAAACGTAGAGTCAACAGTGAGTCAGAGCTGGACGAGCACAAGTCACGCAGGGCTGATAACTCCATCGCCTCAGGGTCTCAGAGGACTATTAGAACAGCAGGTTGTTGTCTGGCTGAAGAGGTCTGCAGGAAGCGCTCGAAGGCCAAAGAGCCGTCAGTCAGCCAGAGCTCAGCAGCTGCAGCACTCTACTACCCAGCATGCCTTGCTGCTGACGTCAGGGTGTGGTCGGGCTGCAAACAGCAGATAAAAGTTTTGCAGCTAACAGAATCTCACCAGGATGAATGCAATTCTCACTGCTGAGGCTCCGCCTCTTTCTAAGAATAATGTCCAGGCTGACCAATCAAATTCTTCACTGTAGTTTCCTGTGCTGTGTGTGTGTGTGTGTGTGTGTGTGTGTGTGTGTGTGTGTGTGTGTGTGTGTGTGTGTGTGTGTGTGTGTGTGTGTGTGTGTGTGTGCGTGCGTGCGTGCGTGCGTGCGTGCGTGCGTGCGTGCATGCGTGCGTGCGTGTGTGTGTGTGGTATTATTAGTTCTCTAGAAGTCTATCTGTGGGGTTTTCTCTGTAAACGACCATATTTACAGCTTTTCTCACCTCTTAGTTTATTTTCTGACATTACATTTCCAGTTAAGATGATGTGTTGGTGTTTCCTCTCATGGTCAGTCTGTGGTCAGTCTGTGGTCAGGCTGTACGGCGGAGATAAGTTTCTGTGCTTCAGGCTGCGGGGGCATTGACAGTAAAGTTGATTCTGATTCCTGAAACCTGAACTTGAGATCTGCTTTTGTTTCCTCTCCTCGGGATCTTTATAGAAACAAATAAACTTCAGTTGAATTCTGTCTGAACAGCAAATGCAGGCTCATCACTAAACGGAGGCGTAACGGTGCACATATTTGGGGTTTTTGGTTCATGGCCTGTATAAAATGGAGTACGCTAACTAATACAGCTAGCCCGGCTCTGGCTTTGCTTCCTGCTCAGCTGCTCCGAGCTGAGGAGCAGCCTGTGAAGATGGGGGCAGTTTGATGGATGGATCAGGAACCAGCAGAGAGAACGGGAGTCCCCCCCCCCCCCCCCCCCCCCCCCCCCAAGACATCAGAGATGATTAAAGTGATTCATATGTATTGGTCATCGGTGAAGAGCGTTTCAGTCGCTGCTTCAGCTGTTATGGGCGACGGTGGCCCAGGAGTAAAGTGCTCGCCCCGTAATCGGAAGGTTGCAGGTTCGAGCCCCGCTCAGTCTGTCATTGTTGTTGTGTCCTTGGGCAAGACACTTAACCCACGTTGCCTGCTGGTGGTGGTCGGAGGGACCGTGGCGCCAGTGCTCAGCAGCCTCTCCTCTGTCAGCGCGCTCCAGGGCAGCTGTGGCTACATTGTAGCTCATCACCATCAGTGTGTGAATGGGTGAATGACTGATTGTGTTGTAAAGCGCCATGGGGGGTTCCAGGACTCTAGAAGGCACGATATCAAATACAGGCCATTTACCATAAATGATTTAAATATTTTAATTTTATGCATTTTTATGTATTATTAATGCTTGCCAACTCCGGGTCGGGGGAGAGGTCCTACCTCAAGTGGAGGAGTTCAAGTATCTCGGGGTCTTGTTCACGAGTGAGGGTAGGAGGGATCGGGAGATCGACAGGCGGATTGGTTCGGCGTCTGCAGTGATGCGGACGCTGAGCTGATCTGTCGTGGTGAAGAGGGAGCTGAGCCAGAAAGCCAGGCTCTCGATTTACCGGTCGATCTACGTCCCGATCCTCACCTATGGTCATGAGCTTTGGGTAATGACCGAAAGAACGAGATTGCGGATACAAGCGGCCGAAATGAGTTTCCTCCGTAGGGTGGCCGGGCTCAGCCTTAGAGATAGGGTGAGGAGCTCGGACATTCGGGAGGGACTAGGAGTAGAACCGCTGCTCCTCCGGATCGAAAGGAGCCAGTTGAGGTGGTTTGGGCATCTGGTCAGGATGCCTCCTGGACGCCTCCCTGAGGAGGTGTTTCGGGCATGTCCTGCCGGCAGAAGGCCCCCGGGTCGACCCAGGACACGTTGGAGAGGTTACATCTCCAATCTGGTCCGGGAACGCCTTGGGGTCCTGCCGGAGGAGCTGGTGGAGGTGGCTGGGGAGAGGACGGTCTGGAGCTCCCTAGTTGGGATGCTGCCCCCGCGACCCGGATAAGCGGAGGAAGACGATGACGACATTTTTATGTAATCTGACTAGTTAGTTAGAGAGTTTAGTGCCACTAAAGTTTTACTGAGAAACCATAACCCTCGTCATGAACCGTGCCAGGACGCTAAATCCACAACCGGGACTTTAGCTGTGCCACCATGTTCTGTTTGTCTCAGATTTGGACCAGAACTGGGTCAGACATCAGCTTCTGGTTGGACTGGTTAGCTTACATAAACAATCAGAGCTTCTGACAGAACCAGGACCAGATGGTTCTGGAACAGCTCTGGGTTTAGGACTGATGAGAGGCACCTGCTCTGGAACTGGACCTGATTCAGGAGTTGATCAAGAACCTTGTCCTGTTGGGATGGTCCAGAAAGCATCCCAACATGGTTCTGTTTTACAAAACCAAACCAGGTCTTTAGAGGTTCTACACCGGAACCAGAACCGAACTCCAGAACTCTTCTGGGACAGCGTTCTCCTGGCTGCTTCTGATTGGCTGTCTCAGTGCCGTGATGATGTTTGTCTGCACGCTTCGGTTTGATCCGGGGGGGGGGGGGGGGGGGGGTTTGGTACGAGGCCCAAATACGGATCAGCTGTTTCACAGAGACCTGGCTGGCTGATCCAGTCATCATCATCATCATCTCTCTGAGCTTCTGACTCACCTGCTGCAGCTGAAAACTCCGAAGCTGCTGCAAAACTTTCTGAGTCACACAGTCGGAGCTCAATGTGAAGCGGGCCTGAGTCTGAACAGACTGGGTCTGGATGTGGGTCGGGTCGGGGTGGTTTGTTTTTGGGGAGATTCCTGTCTTTATTGCTGCTGCTCCATCCTCTGTTAGTTTAGTTTTTAGTGTGTGTGTGTGTGTGTGTGTGTGTGTGTGTGTGTGTGTGTGTGTGTGCGTGCATGTGTGTGCGTGCGTGCGTATGTGTGTGTCACACACACATTTGCTAACTTCTAGTGAGAAAAGGGAAGCTGTCGGGGGTTCTGAGAATCGTCGCGGTGACGGGTCATGTGACTTGCTGGAACTAAGACCGAAGCAAAGCTCATTTACATACCGCCACCTTTATCCGTGTGTGTGTGCGTGCGTGTGTGTGTGTGCGTGTGTGTGTGTGTGCGTGTGTGTCTGTGCGTGTGTGCGTGTGCGTGTGCATGTGTGTGTGCGTGTGTGTCTGTGCGTGTGTGTGTGTGCGTGTGCGTGTGCATGTGTGTGTGCGTGTGTGTCTGTGCGTGTGTGTGTGTGCGTGTGCGTGTGCGTGTGCGTGTGCGTGTGTGTGTTCAGCTGAGATGCATCTTTAACTTTGTGTTATCTTTTTGTTATAAAACTAAATATTTATTATTCGACGTTCCATTTTGATAAAATCAGCCAATCTTTCTTCCGGAAACAGATTATTTATTTATTTGTTTATCTATTTATTTGTTTATTTGAAGCTTTTGGTTTTTTGTGGACTCGACATCTGTAGAAAATGAATTGTTTAAAGTAACAGGAGTGCGAGGTCAGCAGTAGCTCAGAGGGCGGGGCTGTAACTCTACATCCCCCTACTGACCAATCACAGAGGCTGTCAGCAGCCGCTGTCGCAGGTGACGAAGGAGGAGGAGCTAACAGTCATGGAGAGGGAAACAACTCACATCGTAGTCCACTTGAAAACAAGATGGTTCATCTCAAGTGATTTTATGCTAACGTGGGCAAAATCGTAGCAACTTTTCTGTTCACGAAAGAAAAACCCACAGCGGTCTCAGAAATGACTTGAATCTGTTCAGGGCACCGCGAAATCTCAAGACCACCACGGGACTCTAGAGAGAAGTGTGTGAGCGGGCCAAAATACCCGCTGAGAGGTGCAGGAGCCTACTGGCCGTTACGGGAATCGTTTGATTGCAGCGATCGTCTCCACAGGTTGTCCAACACAATATTAAGTTAGGGGTACCGCCATCTTTGCCCAGGTCTGTTCCAGCTGTTTATTTATTTGTTTGTTTTTTTAATAACTCCACTGAAGCATAGTTCAAAAGCAATGTCAGACTTTCACTGGTTACATTTCATAGAATTTTTATTTATTATTACTTTTGTCAGAGTCGAGTCATTTCTGTGACCGTTGTGGGTTTTCCTTCATTGACCAAAGGGTACCGACGATGTTGTCCACATCTGTAAGTTCATAAAACGAAATCAATGATAACCTCCGCTAATAACAATATCACTATGATTGTGTGTGTGTGTGTGTGTGTGTGTGTGTGTGTGTGTGTGCGTGCGCCTCAGCTGATCAGGTGTACGGAGACCAGGACATGCACGAGGTGGTGCGGAAGCACTGCATGGACTATCTGGTGAGGAAGCGACTCGTTGCTGTAAAATCCGGAGCTTTCATCTCGTCGCCCGTTTTTAACCACATTTTCTCGCTCAGGTGAAGAACGCCGACTACTTCTCCAACTACGTGACAGAAGACTTCACCACATACATCAACAGGAAGAGGAAAAACAATTGCCATGGCAACCACATCGAGATGCAGGCCATGGCCGAGATGTACAACAGGCCAGTGGAGGTGTACCAGTACAGCACAGGTGAGTCCTGTCCCCCTGCTTTACAATCAGCCAATCGCATCGTAGTTTGCTTACCTTACTCCGCTTCCTCCTGCAGAGCCAATCAACACATTCCACGGCATCCACCAGAACAACGACGAGCCAATCAGAGTCAGCTATCACCGTAACATCCACTACAACTCGGTGGTGAACCCAAACAAGGCCACGATCGGGGTCGGCCTGGGGCTGCCCGCCTTCAAACCCGGGGTACCAGCACACACATCTCTCATCTCCTCCAGCTCGTACTGGTTTCCTCATTTTCATGTGTGTGTGTGTGTGTGTGTGTGTGTGTGTGTGTGTGTGTGTGTGTGTGTGTGTGTAGTACGCTGACCAGTCTCTGATGAAGTCAGCCATAAAGACGTCGGAGGAGTCGTGGATCGAGCAGCAGATGCTGGAGGACAAGAAGAGGGCGACGGACTGGGAGGCCACCAACGAGGCCATCGAGGAGCAGGTGGCCCGGGAGTCCTACCTGCAGTGGCTCCAGGACCAGGAGAAACAGGCCCGACAGGTACCGGAGCAGCTCAGTGAGGCCAAAACAGAGTCTGGCGGGTCAAAGTTCAGGAACGATTCCAGAGTTTGACGTGCTGTCTTTCTGCGGGACAGAAGTCTAGGTTGTTGTGTGAACTTTGACCGTGTTTTCAAAGTCTCCTATCAGAGGTCTCCAACCCGTCTGTTAGATGTTGTTATGGCAACCAGCAGAAAACATCCTGGTTTTCAGTCTGATTGGTCGGTTTGATGTGGTTCTGCAGCTTGTAGTTCTAGTCGTAGATGTTGGAGATGAAGTTAAAGTCCCATTAGTTGTCACACACACAGGTGTGTGTGCGAAATTTGTTCTCCGCATTCGACCCATCCCCTGGGGGAGCGGTGAGCTGCAGACAAGCCGCGCTCGGGAACTATTTGGTGGTTTAACCCCCAATCCAACCCCTTAATGCTGAGTGTCAAGCAGGGAGGCATTGGGTCCCGTTTTTTCAAAGTCTTTGGTCTGACCCGACCAGGAATCGAACCCTGATCTCCCAGTCTCAGGGCGGACACTCTACCACTAAGCCACTGAGAAAGGTCACGAATCCCACGGCCTTTCTATGTGTTCCAGCCCCGTAAGGCCAGCGCCACCTGCAGCTCTGCAACGGCAGCAGCCTCCAGCGGCCCAGACGACTGGAGTGCCCGGTCGCCACGGCAACGAGACTCTGACCCATCTCACTCTGATCTCACGACCAGCTCATCAGCGAACAACAAGCCCCCCTCGCCTGCAGGAGCCGCCCTGATCCTGAGCAAACCGCCATCGCCCTGCGCCCCAGGTGACTGACACACACACACACACACACACACAGAAATGTTAATGTGCGAGACTGATGAGTGATAGGCTACTTTAAGCTAATGGTAACTGACAGCTAACGGCTAGTTCAAGCTAACGGCCCCGTCACAATTAACAGCTAGTCTGGGCTGAAGGATAGTTTGTTAGAATCAGAGTCCAGAGTGGCGCCGAGCTGATGCAGAACCTGACTGGTGTGTTTGTGCTCAGGTCCAAGTAATCAGAGTCGTCACCACTTGGAGTACAGAGCCATCATGCAGGAGATGTCTCCCACAGCGTTTGGTAAGACACTTACACACACACACACACACACTTACACACACACACTGAAAGATAGACACAGCTGTCAGTCACTTCTGTTGTTTACAGTCAAACCTCAGCTGGAGTCAACAGGAAGCAGCTGAGCAGAGCATTGTGTGTGTGTGTGTGTGTGTGTGTGTGTGTGTGTGTGTGTGTGTGTGTGCGTGCGTGCGTGCGTGCGTGTGTGTGTGTTTCTGAGCAACTCTGAGTTTATATCAGGGACCAAAACATTAGAAGTTCCTGTTTGTTGTGTTTTGTTTGTCTCTGAGCGGACGGTCGTGTGTCTGTAAACACTCAGATAATTCCACATCATCATGAGAACCAGATTCTGCCGATCCTCTCTGAGCTTCTGCAGCTTGTTGTCATGGCGGCTTGTTGTCACCCCCCCGTTCGGTTTGAGCTCCTTCCTGTTTTCTGCTTCTTGTCTGGGTTCGGGTCGTTAGAGTCCGTATTCTGGTTCTGAAACTGAACAGTTCTCACCTTTTTTTGGTTTGGTTTCAAGATGAGCAGCGAATAAAGCAGCAGGTAAACTCGCTTCTGATTGGCTGCTGCGGATATGAGACGTGAACCTTCGGCTCTTTGAAGGTTAAATGAAAAGGAAACTTCAAAACCAACTTCCTGCTTCGTTAACTAACCCGACCAATCCCAGAACCAGCTCAACCAGTAGACTCCTGTTGGTGTTCAGTAACTAAACCAAAATCTTTATGAATTTGTTTAATTAGCCTTCATTCAGTAAATATTTTTTTATTCTGAAAAACATAAATGTTGTTTTCTTTGGTTTTATTCTTTAAGTTGAGTCTTTGAGGCATTTTTTAACCTGGGTCAGCTTTACCAGGTCACCTGACACACCTGCTGAAGGATGGATAACTGTTTAATATTAAATAACCCTAACCACCTAAACTCAACTATGAAGAAGAACCAGAACACGGAGACGGACCCGACTGGGTCAAAGGTTACTCAGAACCCATTTAGATCAGGAACCAAAGTGTGTAAGGTCCACCCTGACAGCAGGGGGCGCTGTGTGTGTGTTTCAGGTCTGACGGACTGGGAGGACGATGAGATCCTGGCGTCGGTTCTCGCCGTGTCCCAGCAGGAATACCTGGACAGCATCAAACACCAGAGCTCCTCCAGCACCGCCATGCATCGAGATAGGGAGGCGTCGCCCGACAGCAGCTGATACCCGGGTGACGCCAAACTCCGGCCCCTGCCATCTCACCCCCTCCTCCCCCGCCTCACCTCTGACCTTCAGACAGAGCTCAAACACAACAACGATGCACTCTTTTTTTATTTTTTTCATCAGCTTCCTCTTCCTCTGTCTCACTTCCTGCTCCTCCCACTTCCTGGTACTTCACAGACACAGCTGGGTCTTACCACTGATCTGAGATCAGTTATTATTTAAAGTCAGCAGCTTCCAGCAGTTTGAGTTTTACTCCTCTCGTCAGTCAGGCTGAACAACCCCAACCCAACAGAACCCGGTGGCCGTCCCACTAACAAGTCTTATGAACTCAGCCACCATGTTGTCCCACCGCTGTCAGCCATGTTGTAGCAGCGCGGCTCATCTTCATCAGACGAACTGAAGCCTTCAGCCTGTAACTCCTCTTCATCATCACCGTCATCATCAGACTTATTTAGCTGCATGTTTAATCGACCACAGCGACATCATAGAAAAGCAACAAATAAAAAAAGGAGAAAAATAGAAAATTGTCATACTTATCCTCTTAATGATTGATTATTGTTATTATTAATAATATAAGTTTGTTTTATTTTATTTTTGTTTGTTTGTTTGGGAAGAAAAAAGTTTTTTCTTGGAATAAAAGAGAAAAATGTTTCTGAACCACGTCCGAGGTTTCTATTCAGTGTGACGGACGACGCAGAGAGACGATTAGAAGATTCATCCTCGAGTCCTTTGGCGTTCGGGTTCCTTCAGTGGGATTATTTATAAAATGTAAACGAACAACAGGATTTGTTTGTGAATTTTGGTAAAGTGAGATTAGTAGCAGCTGATATTGATGCCTACAGGAGCAGGAAGCCGATCCCTGATCTGATAATGGAGCTGACCTGGTACACCCAACCGGATGTTTACTGAGCTCTGGCCTTTTTAGGAAATCTTAATGAAACGTGCCAGGTGACCCAGTTCAGAATTTGTATTTTCTAAACTTTATTTAAACTTTAAATAAAATTGTCACGTGGTCGGGTCGTTTTAACTTCCTTATTTAAAGCTTTGGTTCTCCTGCAGCACAGAGACGTGATGTAAACAACAGAATGTTCAAATTGGTGAACAATTGTGTAAAAATGCAGAAATAATCAGTGAAAACGCGAAAAGTTCAACACAAAACTACTAAGAGCATCAGGATTTCCGAGTGTCATGAACGCGTCTCCACTGATCAACTGACAGTAAACTGCTGGGCGCGTGCCGCATAGAGAAACTGAGTGTATGGGTGCGTGCACGCGAGTTTGAGAGGAAACCGTCGTCCGGTTTCCCATCAGCCTGTCCGCGCGCGCTTTCCCCGCCTCTCACCGTTCTCACTTCTACGAATTCTTCCCCCGCGCGGTTTCAATATTAATGAAGCGGAGCTTGAATCTCATTGGCTGAAAAGTTCAAAACATTGAGCACACGTCGCTGTTCTGATTGGACGAGGGGCACACAGCGGGGCGTGGTCCCGAGCGGGATATAAAGCGGGACCAAAACAAACGCGGAGATTCAGAGGGCGGTTAGAGGAGCGCGAGACGCTTACCGACCCAGTTAGCTTCACGGACTCCCGTTTCACTGGAGCTCGGGTTGGTTTTATCGGGTTTAAAACACAGCAAACCGAATTCCAGCGGACTCTTTGGAAAAGTTTCACTCGGGAATTCCGCCCACGGCAGAATGGAGTCGGCGTTCTCCCGCCGAGTCTGACCATGTTTGATAAAAGAACCGTGGAGCCCCACGAGGAGGAGCAGGAGGAGACCATGGAGGAGAAAGGTGAGATCCTGCTAAAAGTTTTTACCTCCAGTTACTTAATCCAGGTTTTACACCTTAATCTTGTTTCTGGAATGATTGGGATTTTATTTTCCTGGTTTGGTTTTTGTCTAAACTGGTTCTGGTTCTGCCCCCCAGTAAAAGAACCGTTCTACAGCAAGTACCGGTGCGGTCCAATGCTCGGCAGCGGTGGTTTCGGTTCAGTGTTCTCGGGCCAAAGACTTTCTGATGGGCTCAAGGTGAGCAGGTTCTGTGCAGGTCTCCGGATCTGGTCTCTGGTCCCGGACTTCAGACTCACTGGTCTCCTATTTTGTCCTTCCAGGTTGCCATCAAGCAGATCTCCAGTGACCGGGTCCAGCAGTGGGCCAGACTGGTGAGTGCTGCTCAGGTTCGGTTTAGTTTTCAGGTCTACTGCGCCCTCTACCGGGCAGGCAGGAAGGGGATAGTTAGTTCCCACGGGAAGTTGTGACGTCACGGCTCAGCTATGGGGTTCCCCCCAGTGACTAACTGGTTCCTTCCTCTGCCTGGGACATCCCCTTCCCCATACGCACCTGCAGACAACAGCTCAGGGAGAAAACCCCAGAAGCCGAGTTTCAGTTTAGACTGAAAAACAAACAAGTTTCTGATGTTTGTTGTGTTAATAATCCGTGACCCCTCTCTGCCTTCAGCCCAGCCAACTCCGCCCGGTTCCCATGGAGATCGCCCTGCTGCAGCGACTGTCTGAGGTCGGGGGTCACAGCGGCCTGATTCGGATGCTGGACTGGTTCGAGGTGGAGGGGCGGGGCTTCCTGCTGGTGATGGAGCAGCCGCCTCAATGCCAGGACCTGTTTGACTTCATCACGGAGCGAGGCGCGCTGCCTGAGGGGCTTGCGCTCAGGTGAGTCCCACACCTGCCGTCGGACCTTGCTCTGTTCTGTTGCAGCCGTGTAACGCCCTGCTTTGGCTCCACCTCCTGCAGGTTCTTCAGGCAGATTGTTGAAGCTCTGCTCTTCATCCACGTGCATGGTGTCGTGCACAGAGACATCAAAGATGAGAACATTGTGGTGGACACGAGGACGCTGGAGGTGAAGATCATTGACTTTGGGTCTGGAGCGCTGCTCAAAGAGAGCGAGTACGACGAGTTTGATGGTGAGCGGTTCAGCTGGTGGCGATGATGATGATGATGGTGGTGGTGAAGATGAGGGGTCTGACTCTCCTCTCCTCTGCAGGTACGCGGGTCTACAGCCCTCCAGAGTGGGTCCAGACCCGCTCCTACCAAGCCGTCCCACTCACCGTCTGGTCCCTCGGGGTTCTGCTCTTCGACATGGTCTGTGGCGACATCCCGTTTGAACGAGACCAGGAGATCATCAAGGCCACTCCCATCTTCACCAGACGTGTCTCTAAAGGTGAGCGAAGGCTCCGCCCCTTACAGACCTGATTGGTTCATGTTTATAGAGTTGGTTGACTTTTGTCTCCGCCCTTTTTCAGAATGCCAGGCTCTGATTCGCTGGTGCCTGTCGTTCCGGCCTGAGGACCGCCCCTCCCTGGAGGAGATCCTGTCTCACCCGTGGATGGAGGGAGGCGAGGAGGAGGAGGAGGGTCACAGTTCGCTGCCCAGTGCATCTCTGTGACCTAACCGGATCAGAACTGGGATTGAAATTCCTGAAGACATTCTTTATAAGCGACTCTGGGTTTCCATTGGACTGCTGTCCTGATCCGGGCCTTATTTATTGATTATTTATGCGTTTGATTTGTTCCTGCTGGAGGAGATGATGACGAAGAAGAAGAGTGGAACTCTGGTTCTGAAGAGGTTTTGGACAATTTGCTGCAGTTTGCTTTAACTTGAGTTAAAGTTCTGATGGATCAGCTGCTGGTTTGTGGTTCTGTTAGAACAGCTGAAGCCTTAAGTTCAGGTTTTCAGAATGGAGTCGTGTTCTGATGCTGCTGTAGTCTTGTGCTGACCCGTTTTACACTCAAAAGTGGCTTCTGGGCCACTTGGTTCTGTTTATTTATGTTAAATAACTATTTTGGATCCAAAGAAAGCAAAGGTTCAACATTTGAATAAAGCGTTTCAGTCACCTGATCTGTTTGTCCTTGTGTGGTTGGACGGTCCCACTTGGGCCTGGTTCTGTTTACCGGAACACGGGTGTCTAAAGCTCCACGTTTCTCTTTAATAAACATCCTAAACACATCAGAACATTTCTGGGTCCATTAGAACCAGTTAGGAAACTCCATTTGTCCAGCTCCGGGTCAGCATCTGTTACCGTGGAGACGGATGGGAAATTACAGCATCTGTTTCCATAGAGACAGAAGCAGGAAAGTTTGTTTACTACAAAGTTGCAGTAAATATTTGTGTTTAGACAAATGTATTAATTGATTTGTTTCACAAATTAATTCAGATTTCAGTTCAACATCAGTTTATAAACAAACTGACCTTCATGTTCCTGTTGTGTTCAAACCGTTTAAAGCTGAAAAACAAATGTCTCCCCCTGCTGGTCATTAGGCAGAGTTACATAAACCAGAACTCCCAACAAAATAACTCAATCTGAGTCGGAAAAGCTCTGCACTAAGATCTCAACACGTTTAACGAGAAACGTTTTTGTAATGTCAATAAATAATCGTTGTTGGTTGGGCGGGTTGTCCAATAATCGGAAGGTTGTAGGTTCGATTCCAGCTCCGGACAGAAAATTCTGCCATTGTGTCCTTGGGCAAGACACTTAGCCCAACTTGCCTGCTGGTGGTGGTCGGAGGGACCGGTGGCGCCTGTGCTCGGTGGGGCCTCGCCCCTGTCAATGAGCCGCAGGACAGCTGTGGTTAGGATGTAGCTCATCACCATCAGTGTGTGAATGGATGAATGATACTCTGTAGTGTAAAGCGCTTTGGAGTCATCTAACCTTGAAAGACGCTATATAAGTGCAGGTCTTTCATTGTTTAATTTCTATATTTTTACACCTAGATGTAATTTTCATTAGTTACTTCTTTCCTCTATGTCAGCAGGTTCCTTCTGCGTTTTATTTTTATTTTTTCCATGCGTTATATTCAACAAAGAACTCATTCTGACACCCGGCTGTTTCACGGTTAACCGTAAAAACGAAATAATCCACGTTTAGTACAAATATATTTATCAAATTAAATAAATGTGTACTTGAGAAAAGAAAATAAGTTAAATTTTAACTTTGTTTTCATTGCATTTGAACGTGTTTCTTTGTTCTTTCATTCATGATTTTTGTTCGTTTTTAGCTTCATTGGCTGAGTTTAACCGACCAGCTTTTTTATTCATCTGTTGTTCACACAATTGACCGGCAGGTGGCACAAAGGTGCCTGGAGAATGTCACGTGGTACTTCCTTACAGCCAATAGGAGCTTTCTGCTCCTCCGACCAGGAGGAGAACAAGAGAGCGTTTGTTTGTAATTTAGAGGTCTCACACTGATGTTTTTTTTGTCAACACAATATGAAGATTAAGAATTAAGTATATGTACAGTCTATGAATCAGAATCAGAGTGATTTATTATACTTGAAGGAAGTTATGTGCAGAAAAACAGTTGCTCCAAACAACGGGATAAAATCTCAGACTCGTTTTAAGGAAGAAGACTTTACACAAACCATCTTAGGGATCTTTCTGATTTACTAAAATAATTTAAATATTAATTCATGCCTAAATTTAAACATCACTTTTTAAAACTTAATCCGAATGACTTTAACATGTTTATTTTGCTGCGTTTTATTATATTGTATCTTGTTTGACGCTTGTTGTGCTGTCGTGTTAGGTGTATAAATAAAGCTGGAGTCAGACTCAGATTTCAATCAGAGTTGACCTCCTGTCCTCTTGTGGATCTTTGTAGTTGTCTTTACTTCCTAGACACCTCAGCACGGATCTCCTGGTGATGGTTCCGTTTGCTCCTCTGCTCCGGTCAGTTCAGTACCACGGATCCGCCGTCTTGTCCCGCTTCCCACCAAGCATCAGGGCGGGAGCCCCACTGGATTGGACCTTTAGCGGGTTGTAGCTGGGGGGTCCAACGGAGCGTTCGGTGCTCGGGCAGCGGGGTGAAGGCTCGGTCCGGACGGAGGCAGACAGGGCAGCATGGCCGCGGAGAGCCACACCAAGACAGGGGGAGAAATAGCGACGAGCCGGACCCAGAGTGAAGGTGAGATAATTCAGTGTTTTACAGGAAATTAGAGTCCGTTTATTTCAGCCCCATGGAGCAACATTTAAGCTAGGCTGCCGGTGAGACGAAGCGGCTAACTAGCTGCCAATCTTGCCCTCCTGCGGACAGTTAAAGGAGCTAAATACAGGTAAAAGTTAGCCGAAAAGTTAATTAACTTGTGAGCTCTCCAATAAAACCAGAAGCTCATAAATATCTAGACGTTTAAGTATATTCGGAAGCTCCGAAACCAGGATTTAAAGCCGTGAAAGCGGAGTTTGGTTGTGAAGCAGAACCAGGAGCTAATGGAGGGTTAACCCGACAGGTAACTCCGGTTATCTGCGGCTAATCGACCCACCGCTGCTGGTTAGAGTTCTATCCGAGTGTGTGGAGGCTGCAGCGGAACGGGTGGAGCTCGTACACCTGGTTTAAGGTAGAATGAGCAGGTGTGAGTGGCTGGTGACGTGGAGCTTCAGGTGTGTAGGGGGCAGGACACACACACACACACACGCTTGTTGTGAGTTCTGAGATTATTAGTCACCATGGTTACGTGTCACCATGTTTAGTAATAAATTATGTTTTCTGTGATAAGTAGATAATTGTTCATGGTCGGGTTTTGTTGGTTCTGCTGGGTCGGCTCTGATCCGGGTGATGGATTCTCACACTCCCTCACACACTCAGGCTGCAGATCTGTGACCCGGGTCATCGTGACTCCAGATAATCTGATCAGAACAAGACTAGCAGTTCTGCTGCTATCAGGAGGTAGATGGAAGGAAACAAAAAACCCGCTGTTTTCTGTGTGTGTGTGTGTGTGTGTGTGTTTGTGTGTGTGTGTGTGTGTGTGCGCGCGCACGTTCTACTACTGATCCGTGTGTGTTTGGTTTCTGCAGCCAACAGGAAGCTAAAGTACATCAGTCTGGCCGTGCTTGTGGTCCAGAACGCATCGCTCATCCTCAGCATCCGATACGTCCGCACGTTGCCAGGCGACCGCTTCTTCACCACATCAGCCGTGGTGATGGCCGAGATTCTGAAGGTTTTGACGTGTCTGCTCATCATCCTACTACAGAAGAGATGTGAGTTCCTTCATCCTGCTGGGGACGATGCTGGTCCTTCATCCCCATGCTGACTCTGGGTGTTTGTGTCTGCAGTCAACCTGAAGGAGACGGCGGGCTTCCTGCTCGACTCTGTGGTTCTTCAGTACAAAGACACGCTGAAGCTGGCGGTTCCGTCGCTCATCTACACGCTGCAGAACAACCTGCAGTACGTCGCCATCTCCAACCTGCCGGCCGCCACCTTCCAGGTGCGGAACCCTGGCTCGAGTCCGACGTGTCGGGCTGTGTTGCGACTAAATTGTTTCTGTTTGGAGCTGAATGGAAACGATGAGGGTTAATGTTTGGTTCTGACCCAAACCAGAACCTTCTTAGGATGATTTCCTCTGAGTAACTCCACTAAAACAGATCAAATCTGAAGATTAAAAAGTGAATTATTTAATTATTTACTTATTTACGATACACGAGTAAATTCAAGAATTACATTTTGAGAATTTTATTGAGCGAAAAAACTGAATCATTAAAAGATTGAATTAAAAAAAATGTAATTTCAGTTTTGGGTCTGTTGGGTGGGGCCAGCGGCTCTGATTGTGTGACTTTGGACTTGCACCTGTAACAGACTCCTCCCCCCTCAGGTGACCTACCAGCTGAAGATCCTCACCACAGCACTCTTCAGCGTCCTGATGCTCAGGAAGTCCTTGTCCAGAGTCCAGTGGGTCTCGCTGCTGCTGCTGTTCGCTGGTGTTGCCATAGTCCAGGTAAGCCCCGCCCACCGCAGGTCACCTGTTCGTGGTTCGAGTTAAAAACTGAAGGATTTTTGAGTTGATCCGGTCCGACCCGGTTCATCAGTTCAATTCAAGTTTATTTATAAAGCGCCAAATCAGGACAAGAGTCGTCTCAAGGACCTTCACACAGTAAACATCCCAATACAGGTCAGGTCATTAAGCCAGTTTCCTACATAAGGAACCCAGCGGGTTGCATCGAGTCACTGACTCGTGTCGGAGTCTTTACAGCAATCCTCATACTAAGCAAGCATGCAAGGCCACAGGGTTTCCTGAGGGAGGTTCTGGAATGTCTCAGAAGAGTTTCCAAGCCTCAGAGACCCGTCAGGACCATGTCCTGGCCCGTTACTCCTCATATCCTGTCATGTGACACGTGTAACCCGGTTCCGTGTCTGCGTGTGATTGAGGGCTTTGTCCTGTTCTCCGGAGTTCCCAGATGCTTGTCCTGCGGGTTGGTCCAGTTGATCCTGCAGAAACTGCTGCAAGCATCAAGTTTCAGGAAAGCCTCGGTGTAAGGAGGCTAAACAGGAAGTACAGGTTAAACAGGAAGTTCAGGTTAAACAGGTGGGGTGGGAGGGCCTTCCATAAAAGGGTTTGGCCGCTCCTCCGTGTCAACAAAAGAAACGAGTCGTCTCTCCGGCTTCGTGCGGTTGCTTCATGTCCTTGAAAATCAAACCAGTTTTGTGTTCAAGATCAACCTGATGAAAAAACTCTCAGCCACTCTGCAGCAGGAACAACCTGAACTTCGGTAAACGCGGACCGACCCGAAGGACGGGTCCAGTAGAACTAACAGAACGATCATGTCTCTGCAGGTGCAGCAGGAGGGGAACAAGGAGGCGTCGGTGGCGAATGCCTCCAACCAGAACTACACCGTGGGTTTAGTCGCCGTGGTGGTCAGCTGTCTCTCATCGGGATTCGCCGGCGTTTACTTTGAAAAGATCCTGAAGGGAAGCTCCGCCTCTGTATGGATGAGGAACGTTCAGCTGGGGATTTTTGGCACGGCGCTCGGCCTGCTGGGAATGTGGTGGAACGACGGCGCCGCCATTGCTAAGCGTGGTTTCCTGTTTGGCTACACCAACATGGTGTGGTGCGTCATCTTCAACCAGGCCTTCGGCGGGCTGCTGGTGGCCGTGGTGGTAAAGTACGCCGACAACATCCTGAAAGGTTTCGCCACCTCCTTCTCCATCATCGTCTCCACGGTGACGTCCATCTACCTGTTTGGCTTCCACGTGGACTTGCTCTTCACAGCGGGGGCGGGGCTTGTGATCGGCGCCGTCTACATGTACAGCCTCCCCAAAGCGCCTGGCGGCTCTCTGGGTCATGGCCTCTCCTCATCTTCCTCGGCATCTCCGTCGCCACCAAGGACGGAAGGGGGCGCCGAGATGGAGGCGTTTCTGCCAAAGTCAGTCCTGGTGAAGTGATTTGTGTTTCTCTCTGGCGCCACCTGGTGCTCACTTGCTTTCTGCTCCAGCTAACCAATCACTGGTCTTCTGTGGGTTTCCTTCCTCCTCCCTGCTGAGCACTAACCTCTCCTCATAGCTGGTGGTTCAGACTAACTCCTGGACGAGGAGGAGAAGGGAGGAGGCTGCTGCTCCTCTTGCTTCCTCTGCCTTAAAATTTTCACTAACTGAATGAAAGAAGCGGCGGCTCAGACGGACTCTGGCTCCTCCTGTGATCGCTGACGATTGCTTCACCAGTTGTGGGACGGCGTCTGCCTGGTGCCTTTTCTCATCTGTACACGAGCCAGAGGGCGGTGTCAGGTCGCAGTCAGTCTGACCCCGGGTCAGCTGATTCACTCTCTCATCCATTAAACCTCCTTTAATTAATTCATAAACTTTTTGTTAATTTCTGTTGTTGCCAAACTTATCCTGAAGGGGGCTCCGCCCCTAAGAAGGCTCCTCCCTTATGGAGGCCCCGCCTTTAAGAAGGCTCCTCACTTATGGAGGCTCCGCTTATAAGAAGGCTCCTCCCTTATGGAGGCTCCTCCCTTATGGAGGCTCCTCCCTTATGGAGGCTCCGCCCTTATGAAGGCTCCGCCCTTAAGAAGGCTCTGCCCTTAAGAAGGCTCCTCCCTTATGGAGGCTCCGCTTATAAGAAGGCTCCTCCCTTATGGAGGCTCCTCCCTTATGGAGGCTCCGCCCTTATGAAGGCTCCGCCCTTAAGAAGGCTCTGCCCTTAAGAAGGCTCCGCCCTTAAGAAGGCTCCTCCCTTATGGAGGCTCCGCCCTTAAGAAGACTCCTCCTTTATGGAGGCCCCGCCTTTAAGAAGGCTCCTCCCTTATGGGGACTCTATCCTTATGGAGGCTCCACCCACATGGAGGCGTGGCATTCTCATGGATGTTTTCGTATCTGGGTGACGTCTGCGTCTTGGTGTGTCTGCTGTCTCTCTTTGGGCGGATCTTTTGGGTTCGTTGTCTCCGGTAGAAACCTGAACCTATTTGGACCTGAGACCTGACCAATCAATGACAGATAATTTGATCCTAAAACCGTCAGTTCTGGTTATTGGTGTCTGAACCAGAAGCCTAAACTGGTGGTTTTAGGGTTCTTGAGACTGACAAAAAGGTCTATCTGATAGAAAAATCATAGAGCAGGTTGATGGTTTGAATCCTTCCCTAGTGGAGCAGAACCCTGGGCTGGTCTCGGGTCAGATGGGTTCTCCTCCCCGTGTGAAAACCTTTTTATTTTCTGCTCATCAGAAGCTGCTGGTTCTGTTTGAACTCTGGAGTTGATTATTAATGTCTGAATGTGGGCGCTGTTCTGCTGGTTCTGGTTCTGATTCTGAGGAGGATCAGCAGGAAGCTTCAGGTGTCAGCTGCAAACATTTGTGGTTAAGTCAGAACCGAGCCGTTGGATCAGAACTCACCGTGTTCGTTTCGGTGAGTTTAGTCCGCTTTAATCTGGTTTCAACCGGTTCTGATGGTTCTGGAACATGAAGTGGAAACCTATAAAATTTTTATGTTCAATTTAGTTTTTTTTTTTATTTAAGATGAAAAATAATTTAGAAATATTTGTAGAAAAAATCATTTTTTTTTTTTTTTTTACTTCAAGGCGATGACTTTATTTTTCCGTTCAGATTAAAAATGGCGTTTATAATTTCCTCCTGAGTTGGCTAATCTGGTCACGTCCGTTATAGCGAACTTTTCTAAACAACAGAATCTCGCAGCTTAAAAACGTCTTCAGTGGCTACACGAAATAATCTTTTTCTATATAAACTTTTATATCCATTAAATTTAATGTTGAATAAAAACATGAATGTAAAAATGTTTATTTTGAGATTCTCCTGATTGATCTGATATTTAATGTTTGTGGCGCAGAAGTTTTTTGTTAAAGAATTTATAAAATCTTGTGAAACCGAAGAAATGAAAAGTTGTTTAAAAAGGTTGTTCGTATTTTCTGATTTGTTTCTTTTTTATATTTAAAGTTTAGAAACTTTCTGAGTTTCTGAGTTTTGGCACTTTGGGTTATTTGGGATGGGGGTGGGGGTGGGGGATCCTCGGATCCGTCTGAAGAATTCCCAAATCCGTTCTAGTCTCGGCTGACGTCCGGGAGCGCCTCCTGCTGCTGGTTCTGGTTCTTGTGTGGAGGAGTTTGTAAATACTTTTGTCAAAGTTTTATAAAATCTCACATGAACTCAACTCTGGAGTTTGTCTTTACTTCAGTTTCAGGAGTTTTATTTTTGTGTTTTTAAAAATCTGCTAAATAAAGTTCAGAATAAATTTTTTTGAACATTTTTATTTAATCGAACCTTAATGAAATGATAATTTACCCCAAAAGAACGAACCAAGTTTAAATAAACTACAAATAAAAATAAGCTCGTTTGCTTTGGCCGCTTTGAGCTCGATTTGCTCCGTGTGAATTTTTAAAAGAAAACAAAAATAAAATGACCAGCTAAACTTTGTTTATTTCAATGCTAAACATTGAGGGGTTTTTTATGTTTTGACCATTAGGAAATCTTTAATTTCAAGGCCAATCTGGCTGAAAAACATCTGAAGTTCCTGATCTGGTCCAGAATCCTTGATCCAGTCCAGAGCTTCCAAGCAGTTCAGGCCACACAGAAACGAACCAGGCTGCATGTGCCTGGTACCAGCGGACCGGTAGACCCAGTCTGGCTCAGGTGGTTCAGTGTAAACACTAAAGAGGACACAGATGAACAGGAACCAGGACTGCAGGGTGGTGGAGGTCATGACCTCTACAGGAAGTCAGGAGAATGGAGAGAATGAGGTTAAAGATGGAGATGGTAGAGGTGGTGGTGCTGAGGATGATGGTGATGAAAGAAAGAAAATGATCTTTTCTTTAGCATCTCATGACAAAAATCATGAGGCACTTAAAAAAAGTGTAGAATATAAATTTTTCTTTAAAATTATTCAAAAATAAATTAAAAAAATAAAATCTGTGATTAAAAAATGTAAGAAAAGGGAGAGAAAATGATCAGAAAAAAGGGAAATCAGTGGATCCTGGGAAAGGCGAGGGAGGTGATGGAGTCCCACCAAAGCCTGAACAGGTGAGTTTGAAGGAGACCACTGATCTCAGGCTCAGGGGGAGAGAGGTCCAGAGTCTGGGGGGCCACAGCAGCAGATGATCTGTCACCTTTGACCTTTAGCCTGGTGCTACACAACCAGTAGGCTTTGGTCACTGGACCTCAGGGACCTGCTGGGGGTGTAGGGACTAAGAAGATCACCAATGAGTGCGTTTACATGCAGCCAGTAACCCTTTTAAAACCCGAATATTCACAATAACCCGGTTCCGCAGGTCCATGTAAACACCGCCGAAAACCCGGATATGCTCGTTTTTAAAAACCCGGTTACTACACCTGGGGTAACCCTTTTCTAACCCGAATGTTTGGTCGTGTAAACGCATATCGGGATATCCCCATCAAAGCGTGTGTTCTGCGCATGCTCTGTTCGCAAGGAATCTTGGTCTTTTGAGTAGCGAGATGTCTTGTATGCGCCAGAACACCGGAAGTAAACAAGTTGGGAGCAACATGGCGAGTCGCGGCACAGCACCACACTTTTGGAGTGACGAGGAAACCTCTGTCTTCATCGGTCTGGTGAAAAGTATGAACATTATGTCTTTTGTTGACGGCCAAAAGCACAGAGACAGCGAAATATGACGTATATTGCGTCTGGACGTAGTCCATACGTCCTGACGCTACCCCAACGTCCGCATTTAAATCGGGTTATGCAAGTTAGGGGTACCTCCTTCTATTTATGCTTGTAAACGGGTTATTCTGATCAACTCAAAAACCCGAATACCGACCTTAACCCGATCATAACCCGGATATTGGCTGCATGTAAACGTGGTCAGTGTAAGATGGTGCTTGTCCATGTAAGGCCCTATAGACCAGAACCAGGATCTTGAAATGGACCCTGAAGTTGACTGGCAGCCAGTGAAGCTGGAGGAGAAGCGGGGTGATGTGGGTGTGTTTGGAGGACTTGGTCAGAAGCCGAGCACAGGCGTTCTGAACCACCTGTAGACGGTTCAGGGAGGTTCTGCTCAGACACGTGAAAAGAGAGTTACAGTAGTCTAAGCGTGAGGAGATGAAGGTGTGGAGAACTGTCTCAAGTTCAGAGCGGGACAGAATGGGACTCAGCTTAGCAATGTTCCTGAGATGGAAGAAGGAAGAGCGAACAAGAGAACTGACGTGAGAATCCAGGGTGAGAGCTGGGTCAAAGGTCACGCCAAGATTCCTGACAGAAGGTTTGGTGTGAGAAGCAAGCTGACCAAGAGAGTCTCTGACTTTTGGAACCAGCTTGTCTGGGGCACAGATGAGGATCTCAGTCTTATCTTCATTCAGCTGTAGAAAGCTCCCACCATCCAGGTTTTGATAGAGTCTAAGCAGGTGTGTAACAGCTGCAGCTTAGACATCTCATGGGGCTTAAAGGAGATGTACAGTTGGATGTCATCTGCATAAAGATGGTAGGAGATTCCTTTGAAGGAGCTCAGGATGTGCTGAAGAGGAAGCAGATAGAGGAGGAAGAGCAGAGGCCCCAGCACAGAACCTTGTGGGACACCATGGGTAAGAGAGGTGGTGGAGGACCTAAACTTGGAGACGGCCACAGAAAAGGAGCGCTCAGAGAGATAAGAGGAGAACCACTCCAGAGCAGATCCTGATAGGCCTACCCAGTCTCTGAGTCTCTCCAGTAGCAGGTGATGGTCAACAGTGTCAAAGGCTGCAGTCAGGTCCAGCACGACCAGAACAGAACAGTCCCCTGCATCACTGTGGGTCAGAAGGTCATTAGAGACCCTAAGAAGAGCGGTTTCAGTAGAATGAGCTCTACGAAAACCTGACTGGAAGCTATCATAGATGTTCTGTTCATCAAGAGCAGCTGTGAGTTTTTCAGCCACAACCTTTTCCAAGATCTTGGAGATGAACGGAAGTTTAGAGATGGGTCTGAAGCTGCTATGGAGAGAGAGGTCGAGACTCGGGTTTTTAAGAAGCGGGTGGATTACAGCGTTCTTCAAGTGAGCAGGGACCTGACCAGAAACCAGAGAAGCATTAATTATAGAGAGCACGCTGGGACCGATGGACTGAAAAGCACTTTTAAACAAAGATGAGGGTAAGATGTGGAGGGGGCATGCAGAGGTCTTCATAGAGTTAACTAGTTTGGTTAACTCAGGCAAAGAAACAGGAGCAAAGCTATCTAGGATGATGGGCCTGGTTGGAGTCGGGAGAGGCGGCGATAAGGCTGAAGGAGAGATGCTAGATCTAACCTTATTGACTTTGTCCACAAAGAAAGACAGAAAGTTCTCACAGTCTGCAACAGAGTGGATGGAGGCTGTAGGAGAGGAAGGAGAGACGATGCTGCTGATGGTGTTAAACAGCACCTTGGGGTTCCCTTTGCTCTGGGACACCAGGTTGGAGAAATAGGAAACCCTAGCGTCTCTGACTGCAGAGTTAAAGGATGTCAGAAGATCCTTTAGGTGCAGCAGATGGACGTGGAGATGGGTCTTCTTCCACAAACGCTCAATTTTTCTGCATTGGCGCTTCAGGCTGCGAAGGCTGTCATTAAACCAGGGAGTAGGGTTCACTGCAGGAACTGATCTGGTTCTGACAGGACAGATGTTGTCCAGAACGGAGAGGCAGTGCTCGTTAAACTGAGAAGTTAAAGAGCAAGTCACCCCCTACCAGATTCTTACTCCACTCCCACTTCCTGTTTGAAAAATGCAACAAATGCTGTTGCCTAGCAGACCGAGGGGGCGGAGCCACTAACAAATACACACACACAGGCTCACAACGACATTGTGACATCATAATGTACCAACTAACGTTCTAGGGTACCTCTTAGCCAATAGCGATGGCAGATTTAAATTCAAATGCAGTGCAGAGTTTTTACCTGACGACGGCACAACACTGACAGTTTTAGGCAGAAAATAAAATTTTAACTAAAATGCACTAAAGTACAAAACTATTGACGACACGTGTCTGCAGCACGAGTAGACACACATTTATACAGTTTATCAGAAAAATAAGTTGATTTGGGGGTGACTTGCTCTTTAAGGAATCTGGGTCATTAGACGATGATGATGAAGATGGTAGAGGTGATGGTGATGAAGGTTTCATTAACAGCTGGTCTGTTTGGTTCTACTTGAATCTTTGGTTCCTGGATCCTGGTCCAGGGCAGCAGATACTTGTCACATGACCTATTTACAGAGCATACAAGGTGGGGGTGGGGGGGTGGGGGGACCAGGGTTGAGAAGCCCTGGACTAAATGATCAAACACTAAAGAATCAGAAAATCTGTTCCAGTAAAGATGTTAAAATAAGATGTTTTCCTTCATTATTTTTCCTTGAGCTGCTTCATTTATTTGAATAGAGAACTTCCTTTTTGGAAAACATTAGAACTTATTCCCCCCCCCCCCCCCCCCCCCCCCCCCCCGTCTGTTCTGCAGGTGTGCAGGTAAAGAAAAGGGATCCTGAGATGGAGAACTTCCACTTCCTGCTGAGGTCCAAACCTTTCACAATAAGATGCCAAACAGCTTCCCTCCTCTACCTCCTGCAACTCTGACTGAAGACTACGTCTGATTGGTTCTTCGTTTGTGATGAAGCACTAACACAAGTTAACGCTCCACATTTTTACACTCCTTTGCCCCCACGTTGGTTCTGACTGAGCCAGTGAGCAGCTGTGAGCTTGAATGAATAAATGTATAAAAACACATTTTAATGAGAGATTTATGAAGTAATTCAGATGTTTAAGTATCAGATTTTATTTAAAGACTGAAGAACGATCACTCATGTTTACAAAGTTTTATTCACAGATTAGTTAAAAATGTTCATTCGTGCCTTTCGAGTCTGCCGCAGACTGGTTCTGGGTCCTTCCAGAACCTGCAGGTCCAAGCAGCCCTCTGAGAAGACGGACCGAGAGGCTGTCCTGTTGTTGTTCACATTAAACTCAACAGTATTAATAAATAACCTGATAAGCTTCAGGCGTCCAAGTGTGTTTGTTTGGGGCTTTTATTGTGAAGGACTAAAGGAAATTCTCGCTCTTTCTCGAGTCTGATGTTTCCCCTGCACACCATCACACAGTTCGGCACCAGTCACTTCACAAAGTGTCCGACATGTTAGGCGTCCCGCTAAACTCAGGGACTTCATTACTAGTGGGCCATTCCCATCTGTACCGGGTCGGCCCGGGCCGGGTAGCTCCAGTCGGCCCCAGCCTGGCCCGGTTGATTCCACACATCCTTGTCTTAAGCCCATGTGGGCTGATTCTACCCACCAATCAGAGGCTTGCTCTAATGGAAGGTGTGAATTTGCTGTCAGCAGTGGGTGTGTTGGCCCTGGTCGGCCTGAAGCAGACCCCCTCGAGAAGAGGGCTGAGAATGAGCCTTGGTTGGCCCGGAAAAATACCAGGCCACCCAGATATGTAAACAACCTACGCTACCCGGCCCGGGCCGACCCGGTACAGATGGGAATGGCCCATAAAAGTTCGCACAGATACTGCGGAGCAAGGCTGTGTACGGCTTTAAAAGCCGATAAAAGAACCTTGTACTGGACCCTAAAATCCACAGGCAGCCGGTGCAGCCAAGCTAAACTTGGGGTGATGTGCTCCCTCTTTCTCGAACCCGTCAACAGGCGTGCTGCTGCATTTTGCACCATTTGAAGACGGGAGAGGTGAGGCTGAGGAAGACCAAGGTACACAGCGTTGCAATAGTCAAGGCGTGATGTAATAAACGTGTGAATCACCGTCTCCAAGTCATGACTTGAGAGCAGACGCTTGACCTTGGCGATCCTCCTTAACTGATAAAAACTGGCTTTGGTGACGGCACTGATTTGCTTTTCCAGAAGCAGATCGCTGTCAAGCCGGACTCCCAGACTGGTCGCTACAGGTTTCAAAAATAGGGCCAGTGGACCAAGGTCAGCAGAACATGGCCCACTGGACACACTAGGACTAAAAAGCATGACCTCAGACTTGTCATTATTAAAATGTAATTATTTAAGGTTTATATAATTAATGTGTTGGGCAGTACAGTAATTTTTGTGTTTATGTATATTTGAGCTCTGTATTAAAAGAAGAGACTGATCTGATTACACCACCTGCTGGTGGTTGAGGAGAAGACAGGCGGAGAGAGAGGGAGGAGGAAGTGAAGGAAGCAGCGGCGAGCTGCGGTGTGGGAGTTTTTGGTTCTGTCCTGCTGTTCGGTAATAAAGAGGATTATACATCACAACTGTAGCCCGTCTTCCATGTACCCCCCAGAGCCGACACCTTTCAACAAATAAGGGTTACAATAGCAAGAAATAATGCAGTTAGAGTAAATTGTAGAAGAAAGTAGTCCAGCGTGGAAAGTGGTCAGTGTGTCCTTAAGCCTATAGCAGCATAACTACAGAGATAACTCTGGATAACCTAGCCTTTTAGATGGAGGCATGTTGGAGGCAGGGCAAGGGAGAGTCGTCTTTACCGACTGTACACTCCACCTCCCTCTACTCCCCCGCTTGTCCTGATCTGGGCTAACATCAGATTTTAACCATAGGCCCTATCAAATAAAAATGTTTTAAGCCTATTCTTAAAAGTAGACAAGGTGTCTGCCTCACGGACTAAAGCTGGGAGCTGGTTCTACAAGAGAGGAGCCTGATAACTAAAAGATCTGCCTCCCATCCCTTTATTTAGATATTCTGAGAACCACCAGTAGACCTGCAGTCTGACAGCGAAGTGCTCGGTTAGGAACGTATGGAACAATCAGGTCACTGATGTACGATGGAGCTTGATTATTAAGAGCTTTATATGTGAGAAGAAGGATCTTAAAATCAAATCTGAATTTAACAGGCAGCCAATGGAAGCTAAGATAGGAGAGATGTGATCTCTCTTTTTAATTCTCATCATGGACGAGTGGACAGAGAGAAAGAATCCAAGGATCAAAATGTTTTGGTCCCTTCACCCACAGACATAAATGCTTCACCCTCAGACTTTCACAACATAACAAAGGTGTAGTTTGGTGATCAGTCACCAGGGGGCGACAAAGTCCAGTTCAGGTAGAGTTGAACTGTTTTCCCTCCAGATGATCAAAGAAGGTGAACAGAATTCACAGTTAGAGTGTATTTTTAGATTCAGAGCTGATAAACACTCAGACTTAGCGGAAATATCGTGGAGTTGTGTTCAAATCTCTGCCAGGACGTAGTCGGCTCCTTCCACTGCCTCTGGTTTTACCTGCGTTCATGAACCAGGCATTAGTCTGTTCCCGTTTGGTTCCTTTAGTTCTTATCTCAGTGGTTCTTTAAAGTTTCGCTTCTGATCTGAGTCAGAACAGAACAACATGGTATTGCAGACGCGCGCGCGCGCGCACACACACGCACACGCACGCACGCACACACATTATGTGACACATACACGCACGCACACATACGCACCCACACACTCACATGCACCCACGCACACGCGCGCACACACACATAAACACGCGCACACACACATACACACACGCACACACACGCACACACACATACACACACGCACACTTGGCAGCAGGTACCAGAGGAAGAACACTCTCTTCCTCCTAATGAGACAAGCACTCCTGGATCAGAATGTCTTTCCCCATCAGATCCATTTAGATCGGTCCAAGGCCAGGTTCTGGTCCTTCTCCAGAACGTAAACAGCTTCTGTTGACCAGGTCAGAGCCATGATGAACCCTGATGGTTCTGGTTTTGCTGGCTTTCTTTCCTCAGTTTGAACTTTTCAGCCTGACTCTGATGATGCCTCTCTCTCCACCAGGCTGACCTTCCTGTGACCTTCAGGTCTCACCTGCAGGATGCAAAGGTACCACCACCTGCTGTTCATGCTTGATGCTGCGGAACCAGAACCGCAGACCCAATTACCAGATTCACCCAGCAGGATGCTCATCAGTGATGTGCACCTGATCCAGTCCAGAACCTCTTTTCTAGTCAAGAACCCCCACTCAGATCCAGACCAGAACTCCTCGTCTCTTCATGTTTTCCTCCCACTCGGACTAAGCTGGTTCTGGAGCGGTTCCGGTTCCGTATCATGACGCGTCTTTATGAAATAAAAACTGTCTCCAGACCAACAGACCCTTCAATATCAGACCAGAACCTGGATCTGAACCACTCTGGTCCTCATTCTAGTCCGGTTCTGACCTGATCCATTCATGCTCTGAGTCGTGAGCGGGATCCCAGTGACGTCACATTGATGGATTGAGAGAAGCTGCGGGAGAGGGGCGTGGCCAGCGACGTCACGCGGACAGTCCGTCCTTTATTTAAGGCTCCGCTGCTGCGCGAGGCTCAGACCGCTTGACCGCCGCAGCTCCCGGACCCGAACCCGTCTCTGGCCCGTATGGAGCTCCTCGTCCTGCACCGTCCTCCCGCCGCCCGAACCCAGCCTGCCGTCTGACCCGCTCCGGGTGTGTAGAGGAGAGCTCACCGGGGTCCGGTCGTCCTCCCCGCCCGCGCCGTCCCCCCGCAGGCCGCCGTCTCCTCCGTGAGTCTCCGTTCCCATGCGATTCTTCAGACTCACATTCAAGTGTTTCGTGGATTGTTTTTGAAGGTCGCGGTCCGGTACCGGTTCTCCTCCTTTTCTTTTAACGTTTTTATTTGTTTTTTCTGACTAAAGAATAAAAAATACCCTGATTATTTTGATTGTTAACCCTTTGTTCTCGTGTGTTCTGTCTGAATAAACCCAACCGAACCGAACTCAAATTAAGCAGAAGACTTTGGACTTTGGAGATAAGGGTCCATAACGGACCGAACCGGACCTGCTCCGTGTCTGACGGGTCTGCGGGACTCGGGAAGACTTCAGAACTGAAAGTGGAGGATCATCTCAGGTGGACTGGGATCACTGGTGTGGTACTGGTTCTTCACTGGTCTCAGAGAGGTGGACTGGATCCTGAGACAGAATCTGCGTCTGAGGGACAACAAGACTGTTCCTGTATAATTAACGTGTACCTGCCTGGTTCTGGTTCTGATGGAGAAGCAGGTTCTGCCCACCTCCTCCTGCTCACTGGTCCTCCTGGAGGAGACCAAGAAGACCCCCCTCCTTCTGTCTAACGGTACCGGCTACCCCGCTGCAGCTTCTACCGGCATCCCACTGGCAGCGATGCCTGGTGGTGGCATGGTGGGCGGGGCCTGTAATGGACAGGACAAGAGAATGGGCGTGGCCAACGGGGCGGGGCCAGGATATCAAGAGCGGGAGACATGGACGAGGCAGATGGACTTCATCATGTCCTGTGTGGGCTTCGCTGTTGGACTTGGGAATGTGTGGAGGTTTCCCTACCTGTGTTACAAGAATGGAGGAGGTGAGGTTTGACACACCCGCAGACACCTGGGGGCGGAGCTAAAGCTGAGTTAGGTCAAATCAGGTCAGCTGGTCCACAGGTTGGTTCTAGACCAGGGGATATTCCAGAAAGCAAGATTTTCCAAAACGAGGCTTTCTTGTGAGATTGCCGGTGTAACCGTCCCTAAATCGGTGCTACGAACGTGGCTAGCCTGTAGTGAATGTGAACCAATCAGATCTGAGATCAGGTGAGAGCCAGGCGTTTCCTGTCATGTCCTACGTTTTGCAGGCAGTGGAGAGCAACTGCAGCGCCTTGCTCCAAAATCTGCGGCCGCTTTGATCTCACGAGGTTATCGTTGCCTACGTATGCATGACGTCAGAGCACGTCGGCGTCAAGTCAGACACAAATCTAACCGGCATGCACTGCGAGCCGATCATCGGTGATCGGTGATCGAATCTGCACAGAACTGGCTCATCTCGAACAAGCCCTATGATTGGGCAAGGCAAGTGATGTCGCCTTTTTCATGTGGGTGGCTAGCAGCCACGAGGTGGTGAATTAGCGCCACCTCTGGCCCACAGCGGTAACAGCAGCCGCAGCTTTGTTCTTCATGGCTAAATGATAAATAAATGAGGAGTTTAAACTTGTAAACATGAGCTCTAACTGGATTTTCATCTCAATATTTTCTACTTAATCTTCATTTGCAGCCAGGAGCGTCTGATTCCCCTGATGTCAGCATTATTAATAAGTATAATTATATCAGCTTTAGTCTGGGACGGGCCCGTATCATTAACATGCTGCCTCTTTTTGTTAAAGTAGCCTTAAACTAGCGTACAGCTGCTACCGTAATTCATGTAAGAGGAGATACTTTATTCATGCATGTGACTACAAATGTTAACAGCTCTGGTCACACGTGGCAAACACGGTAATGTTATGAGATGATGTGCATTTGTGACAAACGGTTTACAGCATTAACATTTAGGGTCACATGACCACCATGACCTTAAAACTCACAGCTGCTCAGCAGAAACAACATCCTCCAGTCTAAAAACATCCAGACTCCGGAGCAGAACATGAAAACAACGCATAAATGATGAAAACTTTAATAAAATCTGTGGAGAAACAAAAGCTGTAGTGGACTTCCAACGTTGCCATGGGAACATGTAAACTCTGGGCGTTGGAACTAAACAGCTCCAGCTACACTGCTTTATCCAAACAGCTCATGGTCTCTGTTTTAGTTATGGCATCTGTGTAGTCCTCGTAGGCATGAATGAATGATTATCGCTCCGTCCGGATGAAGAATGAGGCTCTGTCCTTTACTCCCATTCTCATTTATCTAGCATCGATTAACAGGGGCTGCCTGTGGACGCACGTTAGTCGTGATTTCCGATCCTCGCTTGGGTTGGAGGGGATTGAATCCGCCTGAGAATCATTCGAGGAGACGGCAAAACTGGGAGGGGAGCGCTGGGTCAATCAGGGATTTATCAGGGCATCCCTGATGATCTAAACTCTGGAATACCCTCCTGGTCAGCTCAGAAGATTCAGCTAAACACAACAACAACAATGCTCTGTTTTCATTCAGATCATCCAGAAGCGTTCCTGCACCGGACCTGCAGCAGCTGCAGGAAATGATCAGGTTCTAATGTTTCACTGGAGCGGGGGTGTATTTTAGCGTGGGGGCAGGCTTTCAAAAAATGGGCGGAGCTTTGACAGCTTGTGTGCATGTTTGTGATCACGTCTGCCAGCAAAATGAGTGTGAAGAGGAAACTCAACGCCATGTGCTGAGAGGCTGTGTTTCAAACACACACACACACACACACACACACACACACACACACACACACACACACACACACACACACACACACACACACGTGTGTGTGTTAAAATTGAAGAAGAAGAAGAAAATATCATTTCTGTAGTGCCTCTCAAGATAAAAATCACGAGGCGCTTCACAAAAACAAAAAATGTAAAAATATAAAAAAGCATTTAGAAAATGGTTAAAATATGTTTAAAATGAGCAAAAATAGACAATTGTGAGTAAAAAAATGTAAAGAAAGAGAGAGAGTGAACAGGAAAGAGGGAAACCAGTGGATCCTGAGGAAGGTGGAATAGGTGGGGAGAGCAGAATAAAGAGAGAGAGGTGAAGAAGGTCATACAAAAGCCAGCTTGAACAAGTGAGTCTTCAGCTGCTTTTTAAAGGAGACCACTGAGTCCACTGATCTCAGGCTCAGGGGGAGAGAGGTCCAGAGTCTGGGGGCCACAGCAGCAGATGATCTGTCACCTTTGACCTTTAGCCTGGTGCTGCACAACCAGTAGGCTTTGATCACTGGACCTCAGAGACCTGCTGGGGGTGTAGGGACTAAGAAGATCACCAATGTAAGATGGTGCTTGTCCATGTAAGGCCCTGTAGACCAGAACCAGGATCTTGAAATGAACCCTGAAGTTGACTGGCAGCCAGTGAAGCTGGAGGAGAAGCGGGGTGATGTGGGTGTGTTTGGAGGACTTGGTCAGAAGCCGAGCTCAGGCGTTCTGAACCACCTGTAGACGGTTCAGGGAGGTTCTGCTCAGACACGTGAAAAGAGAGTTACAGTAGTCTAAGCGTGAGGAGATGAAGGTGTGGAGAACTGTCTCAAGTTCAGAGCGGGACAGAATGGGACTCAGCTTAGCAACGATCCTGAGATGGAAGAAGGAAGAGCGAACAAGAGAACTGACATGAGAATCCAGGGTGAGAGCTGGGTCAAAGGTCACACCAAGATTCCTGACAGAAGGTTTGGTGTGAGAAGCAAGCTGACCAAGAGAGTCTCTGACTTTGGGAACCAGCGTGTCTGGGGCACACATGAGGATCTCAGTCTTATCTTCATTCAGCTGTAGAGAGGCAGTGCTCGTTAAACGGAGAAGTTAAGGAATCTGGGTCGTTATCAGAAGAACAGGGTGGATCAAAAGCAGCAGAAAAAATGCTAGCTGTGCTCTCATTAAGAAAACGAGAACTAACCATACGGCGAGCAGGAGGTGGGGACGCAGACACTGACAAGTTAAAGAAAATGCAACGGTGATCTGACATATAAACGTCCTCAGGACAAACACTGTCAGCATTTAGACTCAGGGTAAAAACAAGGTCCAGAGTGTGCCCCCTGGTGTGTGTGGGGCCAGAAACATGCTGGGTAAAGCTGAAGGAGTCCATAAGGCTGGAGAAACTCATGGCAAAGTGATCAGAGGGATCATCAACGTGGATGTTAAAGTCACCAACAATCACCAGTCTGGACAGCTTCACAGTGGAGGATAGAAAGTCACTATATATGGATGAAACAGTGGCAGACCAGCCTGGCAAACCAGACTAAATAAATATATTATTTTAAAACTTTGCAAGACTTTGGTCTGGTTCACTAGTCCAGCATCCCTACACACAATCCCCGGTTTTAAAGTACTTTAATGTATTTGTACTTGCGTTTTTACTCTACGAAAATATGAGCACACAAAGCCTTTGAGAATCTATAGCACTACGTTCATTTCTTTAAATATTACAAATAGGATCAGTTTAACGTTTTTTTGTGAAGTAAAACACCCAAATTCTATTTTGGCTCATTAACGCCACAAAAATTTGGACGTGGAAATGCATCCACCTTTAATCTGATTGCTGTAGAAAGGCAGGACAGGACCACTTCAGGGGGCCATTCAGACTTCAGCAAGGGCCAGTGCCCCCTGGCCCGGCCCCTAGAACCGGCAATGGGAGGAAAACAGATCGACAATATCCTCCTAAAGTTCCTGTTTGTAATAATTTACTGTAATTTGTTTTACATTTATTTAAATTCTATTTCTGATCTCCATGTAACAGAAAGCCATCAAACCAAATTAATCAAATTATTTATAGAAAATACTTGTTTTCACATTTTTAAAAATCAAAACAAATGTTATTGTTGCAGAGAAAATACTGTGACCCTGAATTAAAGACTTTTAACCTTTGAACCCAATGATTCTCAGACAACTCAAAGAAAAGTTACTAATAATCACAGGCTGCTGGTAGCTCTGCTGCCTCACAGCAAGAAGGTTGCAGGTTCAAAACTTCTTTGTGGTTTTAACAATATTCTCCCACTGCTCGTGGTTTACAGTCCAAAACATGCATGTTGGGTTAATGGAGACTTAAACTGTCTCTAGGTGTGATTTGTTGTTTGTCTCTGTGTGTCCCTGTGATGTACAGGACACCTGTCCAGGGCGTCCTGTGTATCCTACCTGGTGACTGATGGAGATGGACACCAGCTCCCTTTAAGGAGACGGCTTAATTAGCCACAGGAGCGGAAGCTATGGACATCAAAGCTCGTAAATTTTATGAGTAACTTTTGGATTCAGAGGAAATCAGCTTGCAAACAGATTTATTAATAATTTTATTTTATTGTATTAAATATTGAAACAGCTTTTGCTTCAGGAGTTCATGAAGCCAAATATTAAAACACCATTAGCTTCCTGAGCTAAAAGAAGCTAAATATTAATACAGTTTTAGCTTCCTGAGCTAAAAGAAGCTAAAAATTAAAACTGCTTTAGCTTCCTGAGCTAAAATAAGCTAAATAATAAAACAGCTTTAGCTTCCTGAGCTAAAAGAAGCTAAATATTATAACAGTTTTAGCTTCCTGAGCTAAAAGAAGCTAAAAATTAAAACTGCTTTAGCTTCATGAGCTAAAATAAGCTAAATAATAAAACAACTTTAGCTTCCTGAGCTAAAAGAAGCAAATATTATAACAGTTTTAGCTTCCTGAGCTAAAAGAAGCTAAATATTAAAACAGTTTTAGCTTCCTGAGCTAAAAGAAGCTAAAAATTAAAACTGCTTTAGCTTCATGAGCTAAAGGAAGGTAGATATCAAACCAGCTTTAGCTTCACGAGCTAAAGGAAGCTAAATACTGTAACATTCTGCACGTCCTGTGCATCCTACCTGGTGACTGATGGAGATGGACACCAGCTCCCGTCCATCTCCCTTTAAGGAGACGGCTTAATTAGCCACAGGAGCGGAAGCTATGGACATCAAAGCTCGT